CCTTTCCCTTTTCTTACACGTGCCTATTCATATCTCATGTTTTATACCAAGTTTCCTCCTGTGAAATTCTTAATTTAATTTGTTGCTTTCAGCAGTTGTTGTTTACTGTATGCAGCATAGGTGGTTCTGTGGTTTGCTTCCTTCCTCTTCCTCTTCCGTTGGGTTTTTGTGTCGCTCGTGCTTTCTGCATATTTTATTGCGTGTTTGCAGTTTTTCTTGTTTATGCTCATGAAAAATTACTTAAATTTGTCCTCTGGTCTTCCTGCATGCTGAAGTGGAGGCTTGAAAAACGAGCGAAGCCGCCGCGGTAGAGATATGCCGTCTTTGCAGCACACACAGAAAGCGAGCAGTTGAAATGTATTGTTGCAGTCGTCGCAACACTACAGTATCCGCAGCAACAACAGCACTAACGACTGAAGCAGCAGCAGCAGCACAAATTAGAGCGATTACAGCAATAGCGACACACGCCAACAACTACAACAGCAACGACTACAAAAACAGCTGGGCAAAGTGGCAACGGCAGCAACATTTGTAGCAACCACAATGAAAGCAGCAGCAGCAGCAACAGCAACAACCATTGACTCCGTGTCTTTGTGTGTTTCGTACAGAGCGTGGTGCACATGGATGAAAAGTAGCCACCACGTCTGCATTTTAATTGCAAACAGTAAAAACCAGGAGCACTGAAAAGGAGAAACAAAAATGCTACAATACACTAGCAGCACGAAACGAAGTTGCGAGAAGAGAAGGAATAAGGGGAAGTAAACAGTCGCATAGTAGAAAAGACGAAAAAAAAATTCAGGGGACCTCACAAAGGCATGCGAATAAATGCATGAGAAACCAAACTAAACAAGAGAAAACGCTAACCACGCAGCAATTACCAACTCACTAGAGGAGCGAAAGACTTCACAAAGCAAAAAAGGCGCAAGTCAAATTTCTTCCCTGAGCAGCCGCATCTTCAGTAGATGAATACAATCTGAGCCTTTGTTTAAAAAATAAGATAAATAAAGACATCAAATCAAATGCACCAGACGGCAGCCCCTCAACAAAGCATCTAACTGTGAACTGTCTGCTACTACGTTACCTTGGCTGCCTGTTTTTTTTCGTTTTCCTGCATTGTGAATATAAGTGTAGTTCTCGTGTTTAGGCTCTAGGCTTTAGGGTTTGGTTTTGGATGCAGGATTTGGGGTTGAGAGGGCAAACATATGCGTTAACATATCAACGCGACTCGCTATCTATGCTGTTGTCATCTTCACACTGTCTGTTTGTCGTCTCTCGCTTCCTTGTTTCTTCTACCACTCCAGATGATACGGCAGCGGCGAAAATAATCAGCGGCAAAAACAGGCCAGGCGGGAAGCACCCGACAAAAGTGGAGGAGGAGCTCATACTGCCTTCCGTTTGAGTTAATACAGTTCACTCCGCTTACAGCTTGGAAGTAAAACTTAGAAGTGTGTCTGACTTGTCCTAGTCTGCATTTGTTTTTTTCTTGCTTCTTTCACGAGAAGTGAATAGCAGCAAAAAAGGAAGCTGGCCGTACCGCCAACGACGAGAGGGTCCTGAATGTATTTCTGGCAAACGTACGCCTCTGCAGTTTGTTCGGCGTCTTCTGTATTTTTCGCGATTTGATTATTTGCGCATTTCCCCTCAAGCAGCCCTCGGTGGCTCCTGACATCACCTCTCCACTCCCTCGAGGGCAAAGTCAGAGAAAGCACACCAACAAAATCAATTTAAAAAATAAAATGTTGTTTTCATAAATGTGACTGTATGCAAGAGGGCGGCTGTGCTCCCCTGTCCTCGTCGATGGTGCTGCTGCCGAGTTTGCTATTTGTTGTTTGCTGCGTGTTGCTCGCTGTTTGCGTGTCTGCCTTTTTGTTTGCTCTAATTGGGTTTTTCCCGTCATCGTTTAGGCACTGTCACTGTTGTTTCTTTGTAACTTGTTGCTGTTGCAGTGCTGCTCTTTTCCGCGTCTATCTACTGGCATCATGAGCTATTCTTTTTCCTGAACACCAATCTTATTACGACTGTCTCCATAGTTCGTCTCACGCCAGCTGAGACAACTTCTCGATTAAGAAAATGCCTTTGCCCTGGGATCTGCCCACCGGCTTCATAATCCACACCGAGCCGCCTTTCTGTGCGGCACTGCGTTTGAACTCCTCGACGAAAATCGAATACTCCTGAAGATGAAAGGTTTTCTAATAAATAATTGGCGTTTATTGACTAAATTTCCCTCTATTTCATATAAAGAAAATGCTTTTGCTCAGAAAAACAAAAAGGACGAAAAACAATCCTGGAATGCGCTGCTTTTCCATCTTAAGAAAACAATTATAAACATTATATAAGTTTCATAGTACTGGGCAATACTGACCAAGAAGATAATACTAATTGTAAAACGCACAGGTAAACGTGGAGAGGAAGGAAGACGAGAAAGAAGAGAAAGAACAAAACAAACGGAGAGAACGAGAGATGCTCAGCGAAAGGCAATGTTCGCGCTTCCATGGCTATTCAACAAATCCAATGGTAAATCCGATAAGGTGCATCATCGAAATAACCAATGAACAAAATACGAGTAAAGAAGTGACAAAACCAGCCCAAAGAAACGCATGAGTCGAAGAGGAAACAAAAAAACAACGCTTACGAGCGGAAGCAGAAACGTTTGCGGGCAGATGTTGAAACTGAGCTCCAACGCAAAACAGAAATATGGAAAAAGTGTAAAAATGAAACTTTATTGTTTATTTGCCCATTCAGCTTCTTTCGTTTAATTAGATTCAAGGTCATCTGTGCACCTTTCGGCTTCCTGTGTTTTGCATTCTCTTTCGAGTTGGCGTTTGTGTCTTCTGAGGTTTCGAATGAGAAAATCTTTTCGCGTGAGCTGTCAGCAAGCACAAGCAAAGCCCATAAAAGTACCTTTCCCATCAGTTGTTGCTGTGGCATTTTGCTCGTTCTAGTTTCAGCTCACGCAAGAAGCCTTCACATGCCAATGGGCATATATATATATATATATATATATATATATATTGCTTTTGTTTTGAAAATGAGGCATGGCCTGCATATTAAATGCTTTAGTGAATGTCCTACTTGGTGATGATTGCGGAAATGGTTAATTCTCTGATTCGGTTGAAATCTGAATTTATCGAAGCATTCGCTGATCCATTCTTTGTCGCACCAAAAGAAATCCCATTCCGTCTCACTGCTCAAACGCAAAAACGCAGTGAATATATGCTTGAAATGCGAAGCATATCCTCTAATTCTCTTTGTATCTGAGGCTCCCTTCTTCATAGTTGCAGGCAGGAAACGGGCTTCGCTACAAACTCGTCATATGAGTATTGAAAAGCCGTTGATTTTCTATCCATTAATTATTTCATTCATGTGTTGATTTTAATTTGCATTCTCATGCCTGTCGGTCTCCTTCCAGCCTCGCTTCCGCAATACGTCAAGCATCGTGTTGCGGAAGGCGCAGCGAAATCGGATCGCTGGCCTGATCAACGAGAAACAACAAAAAAGTTGAATTAGCAGCAGAAAGCAAACCGAAAATTGATTTATTTCTCTGTACTTTTGATTTATGTAATTAATTTCAAACTGCTGAAACACCGCCACCCCTCACCTCATGGCCAGCCTCTCGTCTATAGACTTTCGGCTGCTCACAGCTACCGCCATGGGTGTATTATCGAGATATAAGTGCGAGGAGTTCGCCTTCTTCTTTTCAGAAATAACTTTAGACGGCCCAGTTAGCATTTCTTCTGTCTTCTCTACTTCTCTCCTGAAGCCAAGATGACCCACACAGGTGCGGACTGTCTGTCGTGATGCAGATACAAAGAAAACTGCTGTCCGCTTGACAGACAGAAATATGGCGCCCTCGACTCCCAGTAATGCAGATAAAGCAAAAAATAAATGAATTTTGCTCCTAAGGGCCAGTAATACGACAGAACAATCCGCAGCAAATGCTGCCACAAAGATAACTGCGAGGCCGAAGCGGAACTATTCGCACTCGCCCCAACGGCCAAGATACCTTGCTTTATAAGCAAATATTCACTTTCTGGACAAGCAAATAATGCTGTTACTATTAATCAGTGCATTGCTGCTATTTTGAGTGAAATTCATTGGGATTCCGTCCCGATGTGCAACAGCTATCCCCAATACGCGCAAGAAAACATCTTTGTCGCGTTCTCCAGGGCTCATGTTTAATAAGTAACTGAATATAAACGTAGTCAATACACAAGTACTTAATGAAAATAACATTAAAAGCTTGTTCTCTCAGTCTCACTGCCTAGACATGTTGACGTGCGTAGACGAAGAGCCGAATTGAACGGCAGGCTGAAGCCGTTGGTCCTGTTGAGGGGAATCGAGGTGTGCATGCGCCTGAAATTGCTGCAAAGTTTTGCCTTTCAATCGATCACCAAAAATATATTTATTTACGTTTAGCTGGTCGCAAATTAGTTCCTTAGACACTTCATTCAGCTACTGAAAGTTGCAGCACAGTCGGCAGCTCGGGGGGCGCGATTTGAAGACGCAGGAGGTACACGGGCAGCATACAAAGCTTTGACGAAATTAAATCATTTAAACAAAAGTAAATAAACACATATTTTGCCAACAAATCCCTCCAAATTGCGAAGGTACGAATGGCTTGAGGAAGGGGGGCCCCCGGGCTGGATGGAGGCGCCGTGGCAGCGCAGGCAGCTGCATGCATGCGTTTTTTTCTCCTTCTCGGTTTTTTAAACTCTTGAAATGTATAATATTTAATTGCCATTAACCATTCTCCTTTTTTTTCCCGAACAACCTGCGGCACAGCACAGTCTCCCCTGCCTTGCTCTTCAAGTAGCCACACACGGCGTCCCAGGAAGAGTGCTGCTACCACCAAAATGAAGAGGACAAAGTTTTTCGGCGTCTTGTGATTTTTCGGGTTTCCCCTTCACGTGCAGGTGTCTGTATAATTCGCTGCACGCTCGTGGCGGCTCACGGAAGGAGGGGGCCCTCTCTCAAACGCAGAGCTCAACAGCAGCAGCAAAATGACGGCAGCAGAAGCTGCGCATGCTGCCAGCAACAGCAGCGGCTGCTGCCCTAGTGATGGCGGTGAAGAAGGGACTGCTTCAGCAGCAGCAGCAGCAGGCGCTGCTGCCGCGGCGGCAGCAGCAGCAGCGGCTGCTGCTGCTTCTGTCGGGGACTTCCTGGGCACCCTCGGGAAGCTGCGTTCTTTGTTGCGTCGCATGCACTATCCTGCAGCGGCAGCAGCAGCAGCAGCGGGCAGTGAGTGGTGCAGCAGCAGCAGCGAGCAAACAGCAGTTGCTGCAGGAGCTGTTGACGCCCTTCTGCCCATCATTCACTTTGCAGTTTGTGATTTCAGTGCAAATGTTCATAGCTTTCTTCGGCGCCGCGGCTTTGAGTTTCTCTTTAAGTCCGACAAACGATTTGTAGAGGAAGTCTGGAAGTTCCTGGTGAGACAGCCAACGCAGCAGCAGCAGCAAGCGATAGCAACAGCAGTAGTGACAGCAACGGCTTGCAACAGGAGAATCAACGGCAGCAGCTTACAGCACCAGCAACAGCAACAACAGCCCGGAGAATCATCATGAGCAGCAACAACTTGCAACACCAGCAGCAGCAACAACAGTTTGCAGCACCAGCAACAGTAGCAACAGCTGACAGCAACAGAAGCAGCGGCAACAGCTGGCTGCAGCGGCACCAGTAGCAGCAATAAGACCAGCAGCCGCGAGCCTACCTGCATGTCTTGTTTATCAAAAGCAGCGCTACATTCGCGTTGCAGCGTCTAGCAGCAGGAAGTCCCCTTGGAATGGGGGCGTGTACGTTGCAGAAGCAGCAACAGCAGCAGCCCGCGCAGCAGCAGCAGTAGCAAAAGCAGCACTAACACCAGCAGCTGCAGCAGCACCAGTCACAACATCAGCAATAACAACAACAGCAACGACAACAGCAGCAGAAACAGCAATGACAGCAACAACACAACAACCAGGACAACAGCAGCAGCACCACCACGAATAGCAACAGCAGCAGCAGCAGGATCAGGAATGGCAGCAGCAACAACAACGGCAACAGCAACAGCAGCAGTAGGGTACTTCGTTGTTGTGTGTATGTTTTGCTGCAGAGGCAAGAGTGCGGCTATCGGCCTGCATTGACTGCTTCTCAGTTTCTGACGCCTGTTGGGTTTGCAGAGAGGAAGCTGCTGCTGTGCTGCGATGTCCTCACCATAGTGCGCGCCATACACAACCAGGTGCAGCTAGCCAGACGCAAAGCCAAACAGCAGCAGCAGCAGCAGCAGCATCAACAGCAACAGTACCAGCAGAAGCAAGCAGGCTTCTTGCTAGAAGTCGGTGCGCTCAAGAAAGCTGCTCTTTCTCCTACTCTTCGCAGCAGCAGCAGCAGCTTTAGATACAGGCGGCCAGAGGGAGGCGAGCAGCAGCAGCAACAGCAGCAGCAGCAGCAGCAAGGTTCCAGCAGCAGAAGCGGAAGCGCTCCAGTCCCTCAGGCTCGGTTGGCGATGCCTGCAGCAGCTGCTGAAGCAGAGCAGCGAGCTGTCTCAGCCCTCTTGCAAAATGTCGCCTCTGTAAGGTTGTTGCTGATGCTGCTGCTGTTGCTGCTGCCGTCGTTGCTGCTTTGTCTGTTGCAGCTTGTATTGCAAACTAGTGTTGGCTTGTTGATGTTTCTGCTGCTTACTGCGGTGCCTTCTTGAAACCTTCTGTTTGCGTTGTTGCTGCTGTTGCTGCTGCTGCTGCCAGAATGTCTCTTCGCTGCAGCTCTCCGGTCGCGTGCAGTCTGCTATCGATGACCTGCGGGCCCAGCTGCTACAGCTGGAGAGCCGCGTTGCTGCTATAGAGAAGCAGCAGCAGCAGCAGCAGCAGCAGCAAGCTGCTGCTGCGGTGTACCCTGCAGCAGCAGGGCATTTCAAGGAGCCGTTGCCTGCTAACGTATCCCCTACTGCTGCTTCATGCTGCTGCGCCTGCAGCAGGCGAACCTGCTGTGCTGCCAGCGATATTCCGCTGCAGACGCAGCAGCAACAGCAAGGGGCTCTGCAGCAGCAGCAGCCAAACCCGCAGCAGCAGCTGCTAATGCAGCTGCCACAAGTAACTCAGCAGCAGCAGCAGGTGCTGCAGTACCGTCAGCATCATCTCCTGGAGCAGCGGCATCCCGAGCCGCGGCAGCAACAGCAGCATGCGGCGCCGTTGCAACAGCAGCAACTGCAGCAGCAGCAACTGCAGCAGCAGCAACTGCAGCAGCAGCAACTGCAGCAGCAGCAACAGCAGCAGCAGCAGTTTCAACCCCAGGCAAGTGGGCCGCTGCTCCTGCACGGTTGGCATCAGCCCACGAGCGGGGCTGCTGCTAGTGCAACACCTGCAGCACCACCCGCAGCAGCATCTGCAGCATCAGCGCCCAAGGCAGCAGCGTTGAGCGCAGCAGCAGCAGCAGCAACTGCAGCAGATGAGAAGCTGCAGGAGAGCGTCAGACGGATATCTCAGAAGATTCAGGCGCTGCAAGGGGCTCTTCAAGGACCTGCAGCAGCAGACCATTCTGCTGTTGCTTCTCCTGTTGTTGCTGTCTCTGCCTCTGCTGCTCCTGCACCTACAGCATGCCCAGCAGCGTCGGCAGGCCCTGCTGCTGCTGCTGCTGGCACAAACGACAGTGCAGCGTTTGCGGACATGGCAGCAGCAGCAGCTGCTGCTGCTGCTGCGAAGAAAATCTCTGAAAGGGTCCCTCCAACGACAGCAGCAACAGCAGCACAATTGGAGCACCCGCCTCCTCCCCCTGCCTTGTCTCCTGCTGCAGGTAACCCTTTGGCGAAGAGCGGCAGCAGCGCCTACAGCAGCATTCAGCTGCCTCCCCTGCAGCACGAACTGCTGTTGCTGCAGCAGCACAACTGGAGTGGAGTGCTGCAGCAGCCGCAGCAGGTTGTGTTGCACCCGCCGCCTGCGGAGCAGCAGGAGAATCTCTTAAGGGCGCATTTACCCCATTTCGGCCCTGCCGAGGTCCACGAGGATGCAGCAGCAGCAGCAGCTGCTGCTGCTGCTGCTGCAGCAGAGCCAGCTCCAGCAGCAGGAGGTGCAGCGGCGAATGGTTCATCGGCAGCGTCTGAGGCGGGTGCCCACGGCTCCGCTGCTGCGAGCGAGCAGCAGCAGCAGCTGCTGCAGCAGCAGCAGAGTCGGCAGCAGCAGCTGCTGCAGGAGACTCCCTTCTTCGGTCTGGGACAGAGCACGGACTCGGGTGTCACTGAGGCATCCTTCAGCAACTTAAGGCAGGGCACTTTGCCTGTGGGGCCCCACACCTTCACGGGAGCTGCCCCCCTCCCCGTGTGGCCACCCTACCTGCAGCTCTAACCAGCTGAAGCTGCAACAGCTGCAGCAGCAGTATCACGTCCTTGCAGAATGCTATGTTTCCGCCTCTCCCCTACTTGGGGTGTACGCACAGCTACGCTATCTCCTTTGGAGGGGTCGCTGCCCTCTCCGTGCTTTTGTATGTGTCATTTGAATAATTAGGACGATCGGTTTTTATATTTTGTACTCGTTTTAATCTGTCTCTGAGAGCAAGCCGCTAAATTTACTATTTAAAACCCTACTACTTCGTTTCTGCTGTGTTATATTATTAAGGTAAATATATACATACACCTCTTGAGGTGTACATTCACCCGAGAGGTAAGCAGGTGTAGGGGGGGACGCTGCTTGTTAGGTGCACCGCCTCCAGTTCATTTGTTGTATATTACTTGAGTCCGTTGTATTCAGCGCTCCAGCAGCAACAGCTGCAGCGCGAGAAGCAGCAGCAACAGCTGCAGCGCAAGCAACAGCAACAGCAGCTGCTGCCGATGTAATAATAACTGTCTCAACTTTCGATTAACACTGCAGCGCCTCAAGGCCTCAGAAGGGAAGACAGAGGCATCTAGAGGAAGGAAACGCTTCCTTCTCTGCTGTCCCCTCGGGCTGTCTCCCCTTCCTCTTCAAGGCCGTGCATGCACGCAGCTGCATGCATGCCGCTGCATGCATGCATGCACCATTAACTCAATAAGTAAAGAAGTAGAATTAGCTCCAAGAAGAGGAAACCTATTCACCAACTTCTCATGCTGCTTGCTGTCTCGCCAACCGAGGCCGCCGCTGCAGCGACAAAGCCGCAGCAGCAGCAGCGGCCACTAGCTGAAGGAAATATAATACGCTGAAGGAAATATAATAGAATCAACCCCCCTATATATATACACCACTTCTTTTACTGGCTTCATGATGTTTCTATATTAGCTCCCGCATGGCTTCCTTATCTCCAGCACCATCTCTACTCCGCCTCTACCTGCATGCAGCCCTGCTGCATGCAGCAACGTGCATGCATGCAGTGTACGTACTGCACACAGCGCGCCTTCTCAGTGGGGTGTTGGGTGTCTCAGCGACTGCCCAGAGTTGGGAACGCCTGCGTATCTCGGAGGTCTGGAGCTGCTGCTGCTTCCCTGCTGCCTCTTCCTCCCCTGAAGCTGCGGCCTCCTCCTCTCCTAACGCGTTCATCTCTGGGGCCCCCTCTTCCCGCACCTCCTCTGCCTCCTCTCCTGCCGAAGGAAGGTATTCTACCTCCCTCAATGTGCACGTATTCATAAAGATTAACAGATTTCTTCTTCGGTCTGTCTTCGCGGTTATCTTGCCCTTCTTCGTTGCTTCGCGATCCCTCTTCTTCTTCCCTCACTACACGCACGTAGCCCTGAGCTTCAAGCTCTTTATCTGTATTGATTTTCTTAGGGCCCTCCTCAGCAGAAACAAACGAAGGTAAATTTGCACGCTTCTCCTCCTGCATGCGCTTGTACGTATCTAAATCCATCGTTTCTTCTTCTGCTGCTGCGGGGCTCCGCTCCTCACCACCTTCTTCTCCTGTCCTCTGTACAGACACCCCAACATACCGCGCAAACAATCATTGCAACAAACAGGTGCGCATACACCCCAAACAACCCTAAAACCTGAAACCCAACAACAGCTGTCGATAGGCGCTTATACTTTTCTGTTTACATGCAGCACAAGTTTTCTCTTATTCGTCTTCTCGAGTGTATGCTCACCTCTCCGGGTGTATCTGCCGCAGGCGCATCGGGATCCACATCCTTTGCAGCAGCATCATCTTCTAGCAGCGTTTCCGTCTTAACTGGGTGGTTTTCTGCTTCCTCCTGACCCCAGTTGTGGTTGCCCGCTCCCTGCTTCTTCACCTCACGCCCTCTCCCTGTGCCGCTGTGGCGGTCAAACTCCCGCCGCTGCAGCGGGGGGCCCCCGGGGCCCCCAGAAACCCCACGCCCTCTGCCTCTAAACCCTCCGCCTAAACCACCTCCACGCCGGCGCTGCACGGGGCCCTCTCCTTCTTGAGATGTTAGCAGCTCATCACCGCCATCAGGCACAGACCGCTGCCGGTAGCCCCTGTAAGCCCCACCGCCACGGCCCTCACCACCGAAACCTCCCCCTGCACCACACAGCAGCAGCAGCCGCAGCAGCACCACAGGATGATGGCCTTGGGGTAGAGCGACCACCCCGCTGCACGGGGGAAGAAGAACGGAGAGGCGAAGACAAGGGAAGACGAAAACGAGAAAAAGCAGAGGTAGTATGAGTTAAGATAACGCCGCAGCTGTTGCTGCGGGGTGTCTCGGCAGTAGCAATGGGCACTCCAGGTGTAGCAACAGCAACAGGTAGCAGCAGCAGCACGCGTATAACAGCGGATTAAAGAAAAGAGACAAAAAACTGCAGTCGTGTAGCAGAGAAAACCGAAAGAAACCGCCGATGCAGCAGCAAACAGCAGCAGCAGCAGCAGCACGGGGGCGGGGCGAGGGGGGAGGGAGAAGGAAGAGAAGTATGTCAGGTGTATGTACAGGTGTATCTATGAAGTGTAAATAAAGACAGAAAAAGAAGAAACAGAAAGGACTTACTGCCTCGGAAAGGCCTGCCTTGTCTCTCGCGTTGTGGGGAAGTCTGCTGCTGCTGCTGCTGCTGCTGCTGGAGGGTTTTTTTCTTAGCAGCAGCAACGGAGCCCGTCTGCTGCTGCTGCTGCTGTTCTGTAGGGGTAGGAGGAGCAGCAAGAATCACTTCTCCTTCGTCTGAAGAAGCGTCGCTGTCTGCCCCAAACGCCGCAAACTTGTTGCTGACGCCCACGGTATAATACTTCTGGGGTTTCATCTTGCAGCTTGTAATAAACGCAAATACCCCACCTAAGCCTGCAGCAGCATCTGTTTTCTATTAAGCAACAAACTCCTCTTTAAACAAGAAGGCAAATGCACAACGCTCGAATACCACAGCCCCCGGAAGGCGCCACCACAACTAGAGATGCTGCTGCAGCGCCTCCGCTGCTGCTGCTGCTGCTGCTGCTGCTGCTGCTGCTGCGGCGGCGACCGCGCCTGCAGCGGGAGCTGCACGGCTCTGAAATACTTAACCTGCTCACAACTTCAAGTAGAATTAACAAAAATATTTTCATTATCTTTTATTAGAAAACATATACTAACAGTAGACACATGCACAAAAGCAACACCACCAACAGGATCTACACCAGCAGCAGCAGCAGCAGCAGCAGTTGCTGCTGCTGCTGCTGCTGCTGCTGCTGTTGCATGAGGGCGGGGCGGGAAGGGCGCGCACAGGGAGCAGGAGCTCCTACTGCTTGGTGCAGTGAATATAGGGGGAAAACACGGAGGTATTGCTGTTTTAAATATTAGGAGTTGTTGTTATTTTCAATGGCTGTGCTTTCTCTCTCTCTAAATCAGGTGGCGACTACTGCAGCAATGCGCCCCCCTTGCTGTCCTTCTCCAGACCGTAGGGTGAACACCCAGAGAAAGAAAATAGCAGAAAATAAACAAATAATATTTCAAAAGAAATGAAACAAATCAGCAGATCTGTGTATTTCCCACTACGAAGACGTACTACAAGACGCCTGGTTCCAGCCCGCAGCCGTAGAGAAAGAATAATAAGACTACACAATATATAGTAATAATAAAAATGAATAATAATAATAATAGTAATAATAATAATAATAATAATATACCCCTTGATTATTAAGAGTTTAGTATAATATATCAAGTTGAATGCTAAGAAAGAATGCCTTAATGCAGGGCCCCTCGTTAATCGATGTCATTCGTCTCTCTAATATTTGCTTGGGTTGTGCGTCTGCGACTCTGCCTATCGGTTGAGACAGGTGAGCACTTAAAGAAGAAGACTAAAATAACTTTCCTCCCCTTGATGTGCTATTGTACAAGGAGCAAAGAGTTCGAAAAAGGCTCCTCTTCGGAGTACAGACAGCGCCAATCAGCGGAAGAGAATTTGCAAATCATCTTGTGGAGACAGGACCATTCACTTCTGCCATTTTCCTTTTGTCGTTTCATCCTACTCTCCCACCCCTGTGCTTGTGCAATGGTGGAGAGCAACTCCCCTGTCGAGCTGTGCTGAGGTGTACCTACATCAATACAACCTACACTCTGTTCCTGCACACTTGGATATGTACTGCGATATACATGCATCATGTCCCTGTACACTCTGCTGAGGTGTATGTATATACATCAGTGAGATGTGCGCCCTCTCGCAGTCTTGAAACTTGCACGAAATAAAAGGAAAGAGACAAATTCAGGTTTAAAGGATCAGATGCACCTTCTTCCCCTTCCCAACAACCTGCCATCCAAGCACGCGCGAGCCCCTCCTGCCTCGCTAGCTAGCTAGCTAGAAAGGCAGCAAGCTGTGCAGCTAGCTACCCAACCATGCCAGCTGCTATTGAACATCCAGCAGCAGCTCCCCCGCACCGTTGACCTAAGGCAGCAGCAGCCAATCGCAGCAGCTCGGCTGCCGCTGCCTTAGGTAGAGGCCGCTGTGCCTTCGAGGCTACTACGCAGAAGCAGCAGCTGCTGCAGCTGCTGAAGGAGCTGACTGCAGCCGTTAGGCGCTGCAGCAGGAGCCATAGCAGCAGCAGCTGCTGCACCTGGCAGAAGCAAAAGAGGAGCATATGCATTGTTTTGTTGCGCGCTCCACATTGTTGCTTGCTCCTGTTTGGGAGCAGAGGCCCTGCGGCTGCGTCTCTGTTCACTCTGCTGCTCCAAACATATCGAAGTCGTCCTGAAGAAAGACAGAAAAAGAAAACAAACAAAACAAAGGGGTGCAAAGTGGTGTCATTTATTGGTTCATCGTTCATTCATTATATTTGGAGACGAAATGAAATGAATGAACATATGCATGCAACATTCCTGTAGAGAATCTGTAGTCTGCGCCATTCGGTTTTTATCTTCTTTGCTGCATATGGATAGGTGCGTGCGTTGTGTACCTGCTCTGCTGCAGCAGCAGCAGCAGCAGCAGCTGCTGCTGCTGCCTCTTCTTCCATCCGCTGCTCCCTCTTGCGCTTGCGGATAAGCGCCTCCACGTCCAGGTTACTCTTTATGGCTGCTATCTCTTCTAAGCCGCTCATTCGAATGCCTTTACCTTCAGGCTCTTCTAAATTTGCTGCTGCCGTTGATGATGTTCCTGTTGCTGCTGCTGCTGCTGCTGCGGGTGATGTTGCTGCCGCTCCTGCTTCAGGCCGGCTGTCTGTACTCTTTGGAGTGCCAGACTTCGCTGCGCTCGTTGCTTGGGCGCCTGCCGGGTCATCGCCCTCCCTGCTGCTGCTGCTGCCTCTGCAGGTGAGCTTGGCAGGGGAATTTGCTGTCTGCTCTCTGTTCATATTGGAAATGCTGTCCGCTGTTTGTTTGCTGTCCTCTGTTTGTGTTACGTGCTGTTCCTGCGCATCCGTCGGTGTTTCCGTTGTGCGTTGCGGGCTTCTGCATGCGTCTTGTTGCTTGTTTTTGTTTTTGTTTTTGTTTGCTTGGCTGTCCCGGGGTTCCTTCTCTGTCTCACTACGTGCACTGTCTGTGTCGCTGTCTGTGTCCGTCTGAGTGTCTGGCGAGTGCTTCTCTTCCTTCAGCTGCATCTCTGTCTTCCGCTTCGAAGCGCCTGCTGCTTCTCCTGTTTGTGCTGTTGCTGCCTCTGCTGCTGCATTTGCTCCTGCTGCTGTTGCTGATCCTGCTGCTGTTGCCTCTGCTGTTGGGAAGAGGTCTTTTCTCCACCGAAAATAAATAACTGTGCAGGTTTTGTCGTCTTCACCTCCCCGAGCCACCGCCTCGTCTACCACCAACTGCGACGCCTGCAGCAGCCCCAAGCAGACACACGAAACAGCTGCTGCTTCTGCAACAGCAGCAGCCGCCAGAGCAGTAGCAACAGCGGGAGCAACAGCACGAGCAACAGCACGAGCAACAGCAGGAGGTGCACCAAAAGCTTCCGACCTCAAGAGGAGTTGCGGGAAGGCGAGAGAGAATGAGATTGACAACTTCATCGTCAGACAAAACCTCAAAAATACCGTCCGAGCCCAACACCTAACAGACAACGCATAGACCCCAATGCGCAACGTGAGAAGGCCAGAACCCTCTGACCCAACCCTTGGCTTTACTCAATTCCGCGCTGGTTAAAAACAGACAAACACAACAGTGCATGCACGGCCACGGAGAAGTTCTCACGTATGCATATTAACGAACAGATTTAATCAGACGCAATGCCTCTATGCCATTTCGCAGAAGTGGAACATGCAAATGCATGCACTCAAATAAGGCCATACATATATAAATATATATATGCGTCATTACCCACACAATTTCCTGTGTAGGTGCATGCCCCGTGCAAAACGCAGAGGTCAGACATGCACACCCCTTTTGCATTTAATTGCTATATTTTTTTCCTTTATGAAGAAGCGTGAGAACAGTAACAGGTGCGCAACAGTGGCAGCGACTCAAGCAACAGCCAGGAGCCAACGCTTACGAGGAATGCGTCTCTGTCGAAGTGCAGAGTGTAGACATGAACAGTAGGGTTGGATATAACGAAGGGCTTCGGCTTTTTCAGAGCAAGGTCCCCCAAAGCCCGAGCCGTCGAAAGCCCAAAAGTGCGGTTCTTGCGCGAGTCCAAAGCAAACACCCGCCAAACTCCCTGAATGGACGCCACCTGCAAACAGTGAAAGACAGGAGGAAAATGCATTAAAATAAAAGAACAAAGAACCCACAATGGCAGTAACAAAGGGGGAATGAAAACACGTTGACACACTTCCAGGCTAACACTCGCTGATGCGCATCGAGACGTGCTGCGCTGTTTGCACACCGCAAAAAACATTTCGGCAAGTTTGCAGTTTTCTGTACTATTGTGGCAACAAACGTTCGCCAAAGAGGCGCCCTCGGCTGTGGGCGTCCAGACGATGTCAAAAGTGAGCGTATAAAGGATACCGCGCACGCTTGCATGCAGAAGATGCATGAATGCATAACCTTTCCATTAGTACATGCATGCATGCATGCACACTCTATGCATTAAGACAGACATGTATGCATTATGCATGCAGCTGCATAACCTATCGATTGGGGTTGGTTACCTGTCCTCCTGCGGCCTCGATGCGTTTTCGTTCGCTGGGGGTATTTGGTTTATGGTCTTCCGTAAGGCGCAAGGCGGCACCGTCTCTGCCGACAGAGGGAGAAGAAACAATAGAACGCCCCGTGGATGGGTTTCGAGATATTCGGAACACATCTACAGTGTCTGTAAATCCGAGTCACAGGCTACGCCGCTGTCTCCGCAATGCCTATCTCAGGCGAGAACATAAACTTGCACGGCTAGTTTGCATGCACTGCAGCAAGACCATGAGCAGCAAACTAATTGCGTGTACAGAAAGATGCACCGGCACAGAACTGCTCGCGAGTCGCCTGCATGCGCTGTAATCAGTTTCAGCGCTCCTTCTTCGTCGGGGCCAAAGAAAATCGCGACGCAAGCAGTGGAGCCGGCTGTTGAGAGACAGAAAGAAAACAAGAACAACAGAGTCAAACACCTGCCGTACCGATGAATGGACGCCATAAATACAGAGTTTCAGAAAAGGAAACAACACCGGCAAGCAAAAAGTACGCACAAAGGAGCCCCCCGTCCCGTATTCGCAAAGGCGAGAAACACAGGTGCCTCGGTAGCAGTAGATCCTTCCCATGTTCAACTACTGCTTGGCTGCCTGTAGAGCTCGCAGCTAGCTGCCTGGCTAGTTGCAGCTAGCTTGTGTATCCTTACC